AGAAGAAAATGATGAAAAAACGAGAGAATTTTTTTTTGGCAACATGCTCCTCATACCAAAGGTAATTGCATTTTGCAGTTTTACACCGTACTCATTTCAAGCCAAAATTAAATCGACTGCATTGAACCACACTGCCCCAATTCAGTTCTGTTGATTCTAGGTTATAATCAGTTCGCGTTTGGTTTAATCAAATTTGGCGAAAACCGAACTAACTGAACACATGCAGAGCTCTATTAGGATGCTAAACTATATTTATATCTGAGGAAATATTCGTAACCGTATCCATTAAGATACGGATATAGTTACTCAAATTTATAATACGAATAGTTTTGTAGTTAAAAATTGGAAATCGTATCTGAAATATCCGAATACATATTAGCCATATTGTTACAACGTTTTAGTCTTTAGATTATGGATATGAGGTTAATTTTGACGATCAAGATATTTAATCTTAGTTTTTCAGATATAATGAACATATTAATGAACTTTTTTTTATATCACATGAATTATATTTTTTCAATAGTATCTAGTTTTCTTATATCTGCTTATATATCCACATGTATATCCGTATTAATATCTAATTTTAGCGGACATAGAATGAATTTTTCTTATCGATGTATATCTATATCCATATCTATATCCGAAATAAGTAGACATATATAGATATGATAAGCATCATAACCGAAATAGACCCTGCTACTCAATCATCCTCAATGACTAAGCTACAGTAAGACCTCGAATGTGGGTAAAATATGACAAAGTTTTGATAAAGCCATCGTTAAGCAGATCAGCCCAATCCTTGAATGGGTTAAAGTCCCAGAGGCCCAATTCGTTTACCTTCTTATTCCTTCGTCTCTACCCCCTACTCTCTCTCTCTCTCTCTCAAGATCTACCCAAACTCCAAGTCTACCTCCAATCATCAAGAAGTAAAAGGGGAAGAAAGGGGGGAAAAAATCAAGAATAAAAAACAGAAAATAGTGAAGAAAAAAAAACACTTGAAAATGATGTCACCTAAGCAACCAAGGTCGGATCCCCGAGGAGCTCGTTCGACTTCAGTCAGGTTTTCTTAAAAGACCCGCCCTCCATGTAATCTTTGATTAGAGATTATAATTTGAAATGGTAGCTTAGACTGTCAACGCTGATGGAATGTTGGATATTTGAAATGGTTTCTGGTTTTTTTTAAGCCTTATTAGGGTTTTGAGTTTTGGGCATTGGCAGCTAGATTTCAAGTTGGGTATTTAGGTTTATGGCTGGGTTTTTTTTGGTTTTATTCAATTATTTTTCGCATTCCCCTCTCACTAACAGCTAACACTCTAACCCCAAGTAAGAATCCCTCTCCATTAACTCCTAACTTCGGACTACCAATTCAATTCACGGTAAAACACCTTAATAACTTCCAAGGTTCTTCCGACTAATAAAAGGCAATAACACTTGGGCAGAGTTATGAAATGGAAACATCTCAAATTTAAAATGATGTATAAGATATTCATGTTTAGATTAGAAAGACTGCTACTTTCCTTTTTAGTAGATCATTAGAGGTTCTGTTGTCCTCCTCATTATAGTCCCAAAATCAAGAGGAGCAGCCGTAACACCAACGCATCTTGCTCTGGCATCAAGGACTGGAGTCTTTAGGTGTGGGATCTGCCCAAGAACTACCAGCACAATAGGGATGCATCTCTTTAGACAGAGGAAGATACCCCCTGGAGGAATAAGAAGGATGTCTTGCTTTGGACCAAGTGGATACAGACGGGAGCACAAATGGTTCTTTTACAAGTGATTTATCAGGGTATGGATGCATGTCAATAGTTTGAATTGGAAAATTTAGGGAACACATGCAGCCAGGGATGGATTAGGTAATGTGTAGGGATGCAGTTGCACCCCTACACATTTACAAAATGAATATAAGACCATGTTGTATTTACAAGATGTTCCCCATAGCTTTTTAAAGTTGCGTCCCAACTCAACCTATCCATCACTAAATAAGTTAGTTGCAAATGGAATTAGCTCATTGGAAAGTAAAAGCCCATTTAACTATTCAACAATCGATTCAAATTGGTGTGAGCCCAAACACTAAAGGCCAAACCTACAAGACTAGAAATCCAAAACTACAACACTATAGTTTTATATTATGTATTTTTATCTTTAGGTAAACAAATGCTTGTCGTCGGCGCTACAAGAATTTTTTTTGGATCTGCCACTGCATGTAGTTGCGTCAAACCCAGTGGACATTAATATAGTAAACTTTTAAATGTGGTTATATTGTTTGTCTCTTCAAATACTAATATTAAAACATCAAGCAAAGGGGTAGTGCTTAGATATTGTTTTCTAAAAAAAACTTTGTCATCCCCCCTCCCATTTACCTAACCACCATTCAAATTATTTTTCAGAGAACATCTTTTCTTTATATATTTTATTGATTGAATGAAATAAATGTTTGCAAGTGAATTAAAAAGGGGGGAAATTTCCTTAATTAATATGGTGTTCTATATGTAGAATCTCTGAAGAATTTTTAGGTTTCATCATCATCTTCTTCTTCTCTTTTTTCCTTTTCTTCATTTTCTCTCTTTTTTTAACTGAGCATTGGGAATTTTGTTGTTTGGTCCTACCGATTCACGGAACATTGTATTGCATATTGTAGACCACAGATGGAGAATTATGTGAAATGATTTTAAAATGGTAGTTTAGTTTTAGTAATTGAGGTAATTGTTTACGGATCCACTCAAACATCTGAATTTTTTGTAGGATTTTTTCTGTGGTTGTCAGCTCATGCTAGTTTATTGGTAGCAAATCTAATTTTATGTCGGCATACAACCTTTTTATGAGTCATAAAATTCTTTCATGATTTGTTTAATTTATGGAAATAGTCATTGTAAACAAAAGGCAGTTACCATTGGTTTAATGTCAGGTTAGAGAAGTTTTATTCCAATGCTTTTGATCTTATGGCTGCTTATGAAGTTCATAAATGTTTATGTTGATACATCACATATGCAAACGCGAGGATCATTAAGGCTCTAGAATATGTTACTTATTTTTTCCCATGGTGTGGCAATGTTAGTTATTGAATCCTTAATGTAAAAGCTCTTATGTAGATGAGAATGCTTCTGATGTTTTCTTTTTGGTTTCATATTTTATCTTATGTTGATATTAATAAATATGTATGTAATTCATTTTAGTAAACAACATAACCTCTGTGTTGATCTGCATTGTTAACTATTCATTGCATCATCGGTTACTTTCTCTAAGTGACTGTTTGCAAGACAATCTCTCTGTTGACATTTTTTTTCTTTATTTCTTCCATTACTACTTTACCCAGCTTCATGAATATAACTCTTCTTTACTATTTGATTTCCGCTTTAGGCAAACTCCTTTACAAGTAATACATGTTATTGGCAATTTCATGAGAATATGGTCCGTCTATTCCATGTACCACTATCTATCGCAGCAAGGGGATCAGGCAGTGGTTTTCCTGTTCAGCAGTTTGGTTCCCGCTTCCATCATCTTCCTAGTGCTACAGAAACCATGGAAGGGGAGACCACTTGCCAATTCACAGGTTTATCATGCCTTGTCTTGCCTTTTGCATATATTTACGTTTTTATTGAATTCTTTTCCTTTTTTTTCTGTACTCATGTTCTTTTTTAACTTATGAAAGGGTGTTATTATTTCAGGTTGTTCCTTCTATTATTAATGGTGGAATTATGTCATTATACTTCATATTATGGGGAAAAGGACTTTTGTCATGTGGGCCACTTGTGTAAGTGTACTTTTACATGCAATGGACCATCTCAAAATTTTTTGTTGTTTTCAAGTAACCAAATAGTTTACATCGAATTGAACAGTTAAGATCTAAAATTTCTTGATGAATGATTGTTTCCTCTTGATGGACAGAATATTTTTAGGTAGACTTTCATATCACATTTCAACATCATGTGCACATATCTTGCACGGGTTCGGGTGCGGGTATGTAACATGACAAATTTGTAAAATTTAAGATATGGGGACAAGACTATATACATATTGAAATTAATAATACATGAGATCGATATTGTTTTGTCATTCACATATTATGAGAACTAAAATTCCTATAATATTTTTACGGTTCTATATTGAGTAGATTATAAATTGAAAAATAGCTTTTATTTGAAATAGATATCTAAATAACCCTTTAAATATCATACATTTAAACTTGGTATGAGCTGAAATGAATCCAACCAGAGTCCCCCCGCTTGTAGAAATTTGAGGTGAAGTGTAAGATATACATCTAAAAAGTGTATAGTGTAAGATAGACATTGTAGAGAAAATCGGGCGATTTTTAAGCCACGAGAAATCAACCGCTTTATAGGATTTACACCGATATATTGGGACAAATCGGTCAAAAATGATATGTGATAAATTTTTGCAGAAATCGTATCTACCATGGGCCAGGCCATATATATCGGTGATAAATCGATGAAATTTTCCTTTTCTTAAAACCCTGATTATGCGCCTATGAAGTGTTTTATACTGATTAAAATTTTCAATGTATACTAAAAGTAAACTTTCTGAGAATAGTTCTTGGAAGCTCATAATATTGTGAAATCATCTATTATTTGTATCTCTTCTACAGTTATTTGGAGGAAACACATGGTTACCATGCTAACATTAAAATACAAATATCCTATACGGATCCTTCCGTCATAAAGCTGTCCCATATTGGACGAATTTAGATGCAGTGAACAATGACACATCTTTGTCTTTCTTGGACGTGCTACACAATATTCAACCATGTTATCAGTTGTAGTATTTTTCAGTTTACAACACTTATTAATTACTAAGTGGACACATGTCCTACATTTCTTATATTCTTCTTTATTTACCGTATATGTTTTAACTAGTCATTCCATTTATGTACCAGCGAACATATGGGAAAGCTACTGTCAGACCTTGACTTGTATAGAATAAGCTTAGATACATTTTCACATGAGTTAGGTATGATAAGATACTCTATAGAAAGTTGAGGATGCAAGGTCTAGTCCTTTGCAAATCCCTAAAAATGTATGATAGGCTAAACTTTTATCAAATATGTTCATCATATGTATTATAAATATGTTTTAACTGCCCTGATATATTCATGTATATGTGCACATTCTCTAATCATTTTTATCTGTTCGATTGTGTTGTTAAAAGTACTCTTGTTTTCTACTTTTGAAAGCATTTCTATGTCTGTCCATATCATTTTTGCACTAATATAGTTCACTAATTTTTCAAAAGGTTTGCAATTAATTTGCATGTAGTAATATAATTCTACATTAGATTCACATATTACTCAATGATCAATGAGTTATTCTTTAGTTGCATATATTGGCAAATCACAAATTCGTCAATAGTGTATTTAAATATTTTATTTTCAAAAATTTTAGTTTGTTAGATGTAGGAATTTAATTAGGAACCTTGAAGCATGAATATGGATTTGGTAAATGGCTTGTTGAATTCTTCTTTGTGTTGCTAAAGGCAATTAAATCAGATATCAGCTAATGTAAATATAGATGTCTTGAAATTCATCTCCTCAAACTGTTGCCATATAATTCTTGAATTTTTCTAATATTTCCCAAATTTCGAAATTCTTTTCCTCACTGAATTCATCTTGAGTGCCAAAATTTGAGACTCTTGTCGTGTCGGTATCCTGCATGAATATGGATTTGGTAAATGGCTTGTTGAATTCTTCTTTGTGTTGCTAAAGGCAATTAAATCAGATATCAGCTAATGTAAATATAGATGTCTTGAAATTCATCTCCTCAAACTGTTGCCATATAGTTCTTGAATTTTTCTAATATTTCCCAAATTTCGAAATTCTTTTCCTCACTGAATTCATCTTGATTGCCAAAATTTTAGACTCTTGTCGTGTCGGTATCCTGCATTCATGTCGGTGTTTCTTAGAAAGGCAGTTACTTTTTTTTGGGTCTTGAAGTGTCATAGATAAATTTTAAGTTTGCCGCAAGTCACCTTGTCCAGATTGCTGTCGGTTCCAATAATATTGTTCTAATAGAATTGTCCTTTTTGTACTGAACTGTGGCTTAATCTCTTCCTATTGATACTTCAGTGCTCTGCTGGCGGAGTATGCAGGTGCTGTTCTTGGAGTGTTATCTGCTGTATTATATGGGAGGCGGGTTAACGGATGGAAGAAGGTTAGTTTTTCCTGTATCATTGGATGTAACTACATTTTTTCATTTCTTTTTTCTGATGTTGCTACTTGGTGATTATCTTCAACCATCAATTCACGAGCATGGTTGCATCAAATCACAAAATTAACAATTCTTCTACACGACAAGAATTGTCAGCCTTGTTTCCATGTGCTGACCTTCGAATTTATTTGCTATGATCAGACAAATTAATTTTTTTGACTTATTTTACTTATGGATGATTACAGTTCATGTGGTACCTGGTAAAAGGTTTGCAATCTTTATTCATGACCAATGATGCTACTGACAACAACATTTGATGAGGCTTATGTATTTTGTAGGTTGGCGGACTTGTTGCAATGCTAACATCATTTTATTTACTATCTAGAGGATGGGCCACAAACACAAATTCACCTTTCTGTATCCTTAATAAGCAGCTCTTGTGCTATTATTGTGACTTGTAAACATGGATTTTGATTGGAAATAATGCATTTGTTTGATAATTAATCTATACCTTAGACAATTAAAATTCTCGTATTAGGAGAAATTTGACTTGACATGCAATTTAAAGATAGAACTGCTTCGGAGCAATTGGTACAGGCAAAACAGACTCTAGGAATTCAAGAAATGGCAGTTTCCTTAATAGCTTCTCTTATTTTTCAGAATCAGCTTAAAAGGAGACTTCATGCAGTAACTGTTGCTTCAGCTACATGTTTTCTTTTTCCTCTGGCCATGTGGGATACGATCTTGGTATGTATGATTTGATACTGCTTCCGTTTCATTTTAATAGTTGATTTATTGGAAAATTACATTACTGTTGCAAAAGACTATTATTAAAGTTTTCTTATCGTTCTCTTAATAATTGCTGGTTATTCCTTTGAATAATCAAATGCAGGGCACATCATCTGATAGTATTGTTAAGTTTCAGCTTCCAAGTTGGCCATATTTGAGCATGTTTTTGTTTGGAATTGTCTTCATATTCTATGTTGACAATGTAGCCGAGGAAAGGTAAGTTCTTGCATCATCTTTTCTCATTATAACAGGACCTATTTCTATTAAACATGTTGCGATCAAATTCATATTTGTGATTTTCATCTACTACTGATATTTTTTCTACAATAACCATGGAAAAAGTTTTAACTGAGACTTGGTTTTTTCCGCGGAGGTGCCGAGTACCAGTTTCAAAAGAGACCGGACTGAATTTCCAGGGAAAAAAAATCATGTCATTGTAGATTCTCCTATACACATGAAGTTTTGGTCAGATCTTGGCCATTTGCTTTCAGGCTGGTTAATTTTTTGTGAACTCTAGCTTGACCTGCAAATATAGATCAAAAGCATTGAGGAGATGTATGAGGAGAGAAATGACGAAGCGAGAGAAATAAAAAGACATCAGTTTCTCTAAGTTTCTGTCAAGAGTATAAATTTTACATCTAAGCTTTGGTCACATTTGGTTTTTTCCTATTGGTCTTTGTTTTGGATCTCGTATATATACCTGCAATATAAACATAAAAATAAATTATAGCAAAGCCGAGAGATGAAGAGAAGGATAGAATGACATGAAGAAAAAGAAAAGAGAAATAAATGAGAAATTGACATGGCTATCGTGCTCCTCTTACACTATGTGACTGATGTTTTTTCTCCCAACCTGTGTGACACCATCACTTTAGTCCCACATAGATTAGTGTGAAGAATTGTTAGTGGTTTAAATAGAGAAAAATCCAAGACCTAAGAATAACTAGTACTAGCATTTTGGCGGTGGATTAAGCCAATATCGAGTTGTTCTTGGTGGGTCCCATGACTTGCATGCGCCAACGGGCTCGTAGGCAAGGAGCGTGATAAAATATTATCAGAGCAGTTGCCAGCTGAAAGTGTGGAGCTAAGTGCTATATGGGGCTAAGTGCTATACTGCGTGATGCGGTGGGAGCCACCTCTAGAACCCGTATGAGCCACTCCTAGAATCCACATCGCCTGGCAAGTGACACTGAGATGTGCCTGTGACGTTCCTGTTTTCACACATGACTAAAGTTCAAGGTGAGCCCAAGGATGTCAAACCTGTCATGTACCCAACACTGTGCATAAACACGTTTCACCATCACATTAATATCACTCTAGCATATGTCAAATATAAAGAAGTAAGAGTACAAGCAGATATAACAAAGATGATAACACAATAAACACAATGTAAAGAAAAGACATTCAACAATATTATTGTGTTCCAACAGAAGAAAAGAAAGTACATCTAATAAACTGAAATAAGAGTAATATATCTCTAAACACAAGAGTCAACTAAAACAGTAATAAGACACTTAGCCTTTAAAATAAAATACATCTCTAAAAGATGTCTAAAATCATAAATAGTCCACTGTGAAACATCAACTAGCTACCTATGAGTGACGGTGACTATGCTGAATCCCCGTCAACCTACGGCTCTCCGAAACTCTGACCCGTTACCTGAAAAGAGGTGAATATATCAGTATCAGAGCGCTAGCATGAACATCTCCGTCCGCCCTCAGGGGAAGGGCTAACGCATATAATGGACGCTCTACCTATGATATGCATAATCTACCTATATTATTTACACTGTATTAAGAGGAGTGAAGATTTAGAAACCCACAATACGAGATACGTACGTCGAGGAAATAATTCAAACAAGAAAACTCTCATATATATATCTTGTACCTCAAATTGTGAATTGCTAGACACTAACTCCCAAGATACTATAAACAGATAATAAAACAAAACGTCACCAAAACCTCATCCAGAACATGATATGAATGTCAATCACAGTATCTCCCCTACCCTTGGTAGGTGGCATAGAAACAAAAATAAAATCCTCGTCAAAAGTATATACCACCACATAAGGTCACAATGTTTGACTACGTTCGCAAACAGTACTCGCCTGAATTCTATGTGTCCCAAAGATGTAGAGTGTAGTCGTTTGCAGAATCATGCAGCTCACGGACTAACATACTCGGAGTGTAGTCGCCCGTAATATCATGCGTTGCACGGACATGCTCACGGAGTGTAGTCGTCCATGTTCTCACGTGGTTCACGGACTAACGCACTCAGAGTGTAGTCACCCGCGTTCTCATGCGGTGCACGGACTAACGCACTCAAAGTGTCCAAAACCATCGCAACTCGAAACAATTATCACACCTTATCATGACAACACAAATATTAAACTATGTATTCCTAAAGGTCTGTGCGTGCTCAAACCTAATAAGTGTACTCCCATGATCACGCATTGGTATCTACGTGCGGCCCGTACTGTGTTTGGGACCAAATGTGCGTGGAAGAATCATGTACGCAATTAGCCTCAAATCGATCGACTGGCCCTTGGGATCGCTCGATCAGTCATTGGGATCGCTCGACCGATGCTCTACTAGTCGACTGATGTCACATTAGTCGACCGCTCAACTAGCAGTTTTAAAATTCACTAAGTCTTGACCGGTCGACTGATTGCCTATCAATCGACTATCCAGAGAAAAATCACAAATCCTGTAAATCCCTTATCGGTCGACTGATCTATGAATCGGTCGACCGACCAGAGAAAATTTTCAAATCCTGCATGCCCCTATTGGTCGATTGATCAATGAGATCGGTCGACCAACCGGACACTGATACGAAATTTTCCAGTTTTATTTGCTAATCAAATTTTTTATCAAAAAAATTTCGTATCTTTATCAACATGGGGTGTGAATCTTCTTTAGATCCTGTATTAATCTAAGTGGGGACTTGGCCAAACAATTATATATCACATAAATTCATAAATTTAGGGTTTAATCTTCCTAATCATCAATAATCACATTTAATTGATTAATTAGGGCTTTAATCCAAATAATTTCGTAAATTAACGGATAGTTATAGTTCTAATGATCAAGATTGTATATTTTCGTTACTTAATGATTAGATCTATAGTTCTATTCACAAATTTCAGGTTTAATCTGTCAAAATTCAAATAAAAGGGGATATGTTTGGAAAAAGATGAGCTTGCCTTTACAAGAGCTTTTGATCCCCCAAGCGATTGATTCGTACCTTCACAAAAGTCGTTGATCTCGTCTTCCTCTACAACTTTGCTTCACAAAGTTTCTTCAAATTCGATCAAAAATTTTCTAAGGTTTTTGAGGGTGGGTGCGGCTGCTATTTCATGCGAGAGAGAAAGAAAAGGGTGGAGAGAGAAAGATAACTATATATATATATATATATATACATACGAATATAAATATTTATATTATTATTTAACAATATGGTTTCAGTCTCCGTTGTCAGAACACAACGAAACTTTGCCTACAGCACCGTTTCGGCATTCTAAGATCAATTGCGTAAACCTCACGTCCAAAAACTTGATGAGGCATAATTATGTACCAAAATTACAAGTGCACAATTAATCAAGTTATAGTATAAATATATCGATCCTATGAGGAAGGTGATTTTAAGAGATTATTAGAATTGGTTCTTATATTGTGTGCATGAAAAAAATAAGAATAAAGAATAAGTGTGATTATGGGGAGAGATGATAAGTGATTGTTTTGAATATATGCAAGTGACAATAAATTGAATTTTAGAGAAGAGAAGAAGAAATCAAAGAATAAAATAAAAAACAAGAAAGAAAAATCAAGAAAATAAAAGATGGAGGGTTCAATTAAAGATATGAGAAATCTAGAATTGAATCCACTAGCGAATCTCAATTATTAAATACAAACTATTCTCTTTTTGTTATATTTCAATTTAGATTTATTAAGTATAGACTATCAAACCATTTAAGGAAGGTATAACCTATCAAATTATCATCTAAGTCAAAATAAAAATCATGATAAGAATAACAACAAGATAGTAATCCTAGAATTCATAAATATAACCTATCAAACCATTTAAGATAAACATAGATTATCAAATTCTTCTTCTATCAATTAGTTCTCTAGTTGATTATCCTAAACATGATCATTTTAAATTGAAGAGAATAATATGCATAACATAAAGGAAAGTAGACTAGTTTCATACAATTCTAAGATTCCTGTAAAAATTAATTTCACATCCTAAGAAATAAAAGCAAGAAATGAATTAAAGAGAATAAGAACTAATTGCAAAACAAAAGAAAAGAAAAATAAGAAAAATTATACTATGAACAAGAAATAAATCTAACTATATTGCTAAAGAAATAAAGATGCAAGAAAATAAATCTACTCTTCAAGACATGAATGTAAATCTAAACTAATAAGCAATAAAAAATTACTAAATAAAAATAAGAAATAAAAGAGAAAAATAAAAGAAAAGCAAACCTTCAAATTGCTCTTCATCTCCATCTTCATCATCCAACAAAGAAAAGAAAAGAAAAATTTAAAGTGGAGAAAAATTCATGTACTATTATTATTAAAAAAAATTATTAAAAATACAAATGCAACAGATTTCAGCAGACTCGCGACATTAAGGCTTAAATTGCGAATCGATTTCAAATCGATTTTAATCTGATTCATTCATCTCAGAATGGTCACCAATCATAACAAAACTCTATTATTATTATTTGCAACAATATTTTTAAATTTTCGGTGTTTTACATTCACTCCTTCTTAAAGAAAAATTTGTCCCCGAAATTTAGCAATTAATCACAATGTATCACACACGCAAAGTTTACACTTAACATTTAGAATGTGAATACTCCTACTTAACCTCTAATTAAACAGAACTAGTACGTCGAGGAAAATTCCAAACAAGAACCCCTCATGTACATATTATATGTTTCGAATGATTAGCCGTTAAGTGTTAATACTCACATTTTAACGTGAAGTGTAAATGTAACTATATAGGTAAGATAAATATCAAACATATCAATATACCTGCTCGAATAGATGTTGGTAGTCGCAACGCATATTCTCCTTGCGTTTCCAAGAAGCTTCCTCAACTCCCTGTTCCACTGGACTTTGACTAATGAAATTACCTTATTCCGAAGTTTCTTATCCTCCCTGACAAGAATGCGGACTGAGGTCTCAATGTAGTTAAATCCGCTTGAA